AGATACTGCTGTGATAGGTGTAGCTGCTCATCAGTGACACTGATCTTCATTCTCATCGTGGGAGTTCTCAATTTCCTGGTGCTTCAAGGCATCGCCAGCACCGTCGATAAATCCTCGACACGACTAGGATCGATTGAGAGGCTTTTGGTCACACGATTTGAAGGACCAAAGGTGCTCACTGATCACATTTCGAAAGCTGAAGCAGAGAAATTCGGATTCAATCCCTGGTCTCGAGTAGTGATTGATGAACGATCCCGTGATAGGATTCCGCTCGTAGACTTTGAGTGTTCGCGGAAACGTCTCGGAGTGATCTGTCTATCACCGAGAGATAAGATTTGTCTTCTGAGACCCCATGGTAGATCGTTGACAAACGTTACTGTGCCCCATGAGCGTGTACAGAGCGATATTCTTGATGAAATTATCAAAGTAGAGGGAATCATGAATGATTGTAAAAATTCTACTCGGCTTATCTCCGTATCCTAACAATGAAGTCGATCTAATTCTAGTTTTGTTTAACAGGTTTTTCTGATTAAAATTGGTTCTTGTACGCTTATAGACTATAGAATAAATCTCGTATCTTATTCTCCGATAATCTATGCGTTTTCTGTTTTAATTTTCGCAGGTTTCGTTGTGAAAATTTAGGTCTAACTTTTTTGTCTAGTGACGTACTTGGAGACTTAGTATAAAAGGGGATCGATTTCCCCCGACAATCATTCGTAGCAACGAAGAGCCTTCCAATGCTCAACTACCTCCTAAGCTTCTTCCGATCCCGACCCAACAAGAAAACTCGCCGATCAACTTCCCGGAGGACCACCAGACGAGGACACCGGACCCGAAGCGCCGATCACAGTCAAGGAAGCATCGGGACGTCCCGGCGCAGAAAGTGCCGCAACTGCTGTTGCGAGTACAGGTGTGCAAGTCTCCGACGCACCAGAAGAAGGCGCAGGATGGAGGGTGGACAACCCGTTACGTTCTTCGATGTCCGGGACACCAGGCGTGATCGCCCCGAGCCGATCCGCGTGCCATGGGCGCGTTTTAGCAACGTCGACCCAGAAGAAGACGACGAGATAACTCTCGTCGACATGTCGTCGAGTCACCGTCCCTCGACGAATGCGGAGCCCGGACCGGCAGAGGAGGAGACGGCCGCTGTTCCGGCCCGCCGGCGTAGCCAGCGAAAGAGAAGAGGGACACTTGCCAGGAGGTTACTCCTCCTGGGCGAGGTTACGGCCACACTCTGTGTGGCCATCCTAATCTACGCCTGCGTGAAGCTGCAGGCCGCCATCGGTAACGCGATGTTTTTTAGTTATGTCTGCAAATTTATGTTAGCTATCTATCAAATACTCATACGATAAACTCTTATTGTCTCACGTCTAATGTTGGATTCTTCCTTGTTGTCCTTTACAGAGAAGAAACTATCCGATGAGGGTATAACCTTGCCCGATGGCAGAAGTTGCCCAATGACAGTTCCCAAGACCACGGAACTCGATTTTCTCGGTCGGCTCTTGCCGACCGAGGGAACAAAGAACTTTCGACTGTCTTCCATGACGTGTCGTGTGGTAGAGGCACATCAAGTGTGCTTTAGTGAGGTCGAAAATGTCTGTGTGGTAAGGAACCGTGGAGCCACTGTTCGACCCCGTGGTGCGCCTAAAGCCACCCGGGTTAGATCAAGCTCCATCGACCTTATCACAACAGCATTAGGCAATCTTAATTATTGCGAGAATAAAGCATGGTATTTTGAGACTTGATTCGAAACGTTCTCTCTATGGTGTTTGTCAGCCTTCGCGTATTTCACTGGTAGTAGCCCGCACTGGTGGTTGTTTCTCACTGGTCCAGTGTACCCGAACCTCGCGAGCACTCGCCCCCAGGCAGTCCGTCCAATCCGACATTCGTCATCAAGCGCACCCCGCCCGATCTGCTCCAAATGGTCTTTTTATCTGGCCATGCGGTTTAGGGTGTGTTAAGTTAATCGAGTAAAATGATTGCGATCCACGTTTTAAAAGTTGGCGCGCGCTCTCTTCGTAGAGGCGCGCGCATCGTGAATAAAAAGAGTCGTCGACCCGCAGTTGAAGGAAGAAGTCATGTGTTTTCCGTTTCCATAAAAAACCTCAAAATCTCGCCCGAACCAGACGCCATACTCAACAAATTGGTGCCGTGACCAGGATTTCGATCCGAAATCCCCTTTCGCCGTTTGTGTTCGTCTCCGAGATGAGTTCAGAGGATCCGAAGCCCACGTCTGACTCTTCGAACCCGACCATGGATCGGACCGTGAAGAAAACCCTCTCGACGCTTCGTAGGCAGCGAACGATTCGGAAGAAACAAATTATTGCCGACATCGAGAGCGTCGAGGACCTATACTCCGAAGAGCCGAAGTTTCCGACCGACCGCCGCGCGGACACGCTCACCGTCATCATGAATCAGCACATGTCGAAGATTCGTGACTTGAATGGAAAAATCCAGGATCTGCTAGAAGACGAGCTCGAGCTGGAACAGGAGACCACCGAGGCTGAGGAATTCGAGTTGAAGTTGGAGCAGGCCATCGCAGCGATCACCGCAGCCGCCGAGCGCTCGCGTGCCAAGGCGAACGTTTCGGCCGGTGAAACGATCTACGAGACTCCGGAGGGTATCAGACGCGTTCGATTCCATTTCCCGATGGAGTCCACGCTAAATGCCGGATCGGCCGCCACAGCGATCGCTCAGAGTGTTCCGGACGTACAGAGCGTGGCCGGACCGTCGATGGCTCCGCAGGTGCCACCTCCAGCGCCTTGCCCCTCCGGGACCGCTCCGAATCGGACGATCGCCTCCAGCGATCCCGATCGGCAACATTCGCCCTCAGGGCCTCCGGTACAATCAGTGACAACATGCCGCCTGCCACGAGAACTCGATATTTCGCCCGAGACCTTCGCCGGCGACAGATTGAAATATCGTGCCTTCATCACGCAGTTCAAGTGCTTCGTGGACAGACGGCCCGATTCTCCTCCAATCGAGAGACTCATGACTCTCCGGAAGTTTGTGAGCGGTGAGCCTCATCAAATAGTTCACGCGCTGCAGCTCTCGGACGCGAATTACAACGTCGCACTGCAACTGCTCGAGGAGAATTACGGCCGTGTACAAAACGAAACAGAGAAGATCCTGTCAGATCTGCGTAATTTGCCCCGTGTCCCCAAATACCATGATCTTCCCGCGCTAAGAAAACTCGTGACATTCGTGCAGGGAAGTGTTGCAACATTGGCGGCCAACGGAATACCGCTGTCGACATTCGCGCTTTCGTTGAAATCGGCTATAGAAGCTTCTATGCCAGCGAGGATGCGCCAAGAATTCAAAGACGAGAGGCGTCTGGAAGAGAAGCTGTCTGCGATCAAGTCCGGCAGAGGGGAGATCCCCATCGAAAACGCTCTCGCCGAGACGATCGTAAACATCAACAGTGGAACAGCTGTCAGCCACGCTCCGACTTCGCTTGCCGATACCACCGCGAATGAGGTTCAGTGTCTGATTGGTTTCTTGCGTTTGCGTGTTCGTGATTGGGAAGACATCAAACATCTCGACGAGACTGCTCGCTCCGTCGAGGACAAGGATGCCCCCGTGCGCAGTTCCCATACGAATGACAGTCTTCGCCGACGCCGAAGTACAATTGTGGCGGCAGCCGCTACTCCGAAGAATAATCCGGGAAGTAGGCCCAGATTTCGTGCGCGACCGTGTCTCTTCTGTGGGGTAACCGAACACAACTCATCTCGGTGCCCAGCGAGCATCCCGATTCAGAAACGACGGGAGACCCTCATCAACCTGCATCGCTGTGAAAAATGCTTTAGACTAACGCATGCCAGCCCGGACGACTGCCATGGACCTCGATATCCCTGCTCCAAGTGCAAGTCTGCGCAGCATTACTCATCAATGCATCCAGACAAGACTGAGGCCAGTTCCGCGGTTGTCGATGTCTCCGGTGGTGTCGGTGCAAACAACGGTGCCTTACTGTGGACAGCATGTGCGTACGTCGTCAACGGCGGCATGCGCATCCCGATCCGAGTCTTTCTCGACAACGGAAGTACTCTGACTGTGGTCTCGCCGTCTCTACGAGCCATGTTACGTGAATCGCCGGTCGCAGTCAACGATCTCGCCATCCAAGCGTTTGCAAGCAAGCTCGCCCGTGAATCCGTTCCCCTGTACAATCTTCGACTCTAGGGTGCAAAAGGCGGACCGATCGTAGAGCTGCTTGCGCATGAGTACGATTTTGGCGTAAATCCTTCGAACGCTAGCCCCCTTCACGTCTTGGAGGCTATTCGTGAATTCGACAAGAAGAAACCGCTAGCTGACCGATCCTACCTGGGAGAGTGGAGTCCATCTGCTCCCGCCATTCTCGTCGGAATGAATCAGCTTCATGAAGTACTCATCCGTTCGAAGCCTGAAGACGTCATTGACGAGATCACCGCTCAGCCGACGCACTTCGGCTGGGTCATCGGGGGATCTCTCGTTCCAACGCGGAATCACGTCAAGGGCGCGGTGACGGCTGCTCACATAGTATGTTGCCCTGCGGTTCTCTCAGCGTGCTCAGCACAACTCTCGTCCTCTGCGGAGGCGCTCCAGAGGCTTTGGTCGCTCGACGCCGTGGGAATAAGCGAGATACCGTCCGCATCGCAATTGTCGGTCGATGAGGAAAAGGCGCTCAAACAGTTCGATGCTGGTGTTTCCTACGACGGGGAGCGATACACCGTGGTCTTTCCGGAACGATCTACGATCTCCGAGCTGCCAAATAACAGAAATCTCGCCATGCAACGACTTGAGCGCAAGATATGCCAGCTTCGCCGAGACCCGAGGAAGTACGATCGTTACCACGAGGAAGTCATGAGGTTTGTGAACGACGGCTTCGCGACCGAAATCCATGACTCTGTTCTGAATCGATCACCGTCCGTGGATGGATCATACTTCATGCCACACCACGAGATCGTATCGCGTGCCGGTTCTGCGGAGAAAAGGAGAATCGTCTTCGACTGTTCCGCGAGAGAAAGGGGTGCCACATCTCTGAACGAGCACCTCTTGCCGGGACCCAACTTGAATCCAGATCTAGTCACGCTGCTGTTGAATTTCCGTCTTCACCGCGTTGCAGTCTCCGCTGACATTTCGAAGGCTTACATGAGGATCGCTGTCAACGCTGCGGATCAGCCCCTATTTCGCTTCCTGTGGCAAGCACCAGGATCGGACGCCGTCAACATATACCAAATGCAGCGAGTCGTGTGGGGCGCTACCTCGTCTGGGTTCCTGCTGGCCGCCACGATTCGTCACCATCTGAAGAACAGCGAGGAGAGCGTTCGAGATCTAGGCGATCATCTGTACGCCGATGACTTTCTCCGCAGTTTCGAGGACATTGGCCAGGCGACGGCGTTCGCCGACGGCCTCCGAGCTACCTTGCGGGCTGCTGGCAAGAGCCTCGCAAAATGGAAATCAAACTCCATCGAAATCAAGCGTCATCTAATCAGCTCAGGAGTCTCCCCAGATGATTTTGACACCGCCCCCGGCAATCTCCTGAAGGTTCTTGGGATATGCTGGGATCCCGAGCAGGACGTGTTTCATCTCGCCATGCCGCCATCCATCCCCGGTCGCCACACCGAGAAGGTCCTGACCAAACGAATGGTCTTGAGTGTTGTTGCTTCCATCTACGATCCCTTGGGGTGGTTGACACCATTTACGCTCCGGGGAAAAAGGATTATCCAGCGCCTGTGGTCAGCCAACCTGGACTGGAATCGAGCAGTCCCGACTGACGTCCATTCAGATCTGACAACGTGGTTTTCCGAGATCGAGGCGTTCTCGAAACTCGGGATCCAGCGTCAGTTCGTCAAGCGAGAGGTGTTGCCGGTGTCCCATCATCTTCACGTTTTCGGGGATGCGTCTGTATCGGCCTACGCGGCCGCAGCATACCTCGAGGCGCGCTTCGCCGACGGATCGTCGAGCTTCGCCTTGATCATGAGCAAATCCCGGCTCGCGCCACGCGATTCCCCATCCCTGCCGCGGCTCGAGCTATTGGCCGCTCTCATCGCGGTGAGACTCGCGAGATTCCTCACCGAGCGGATGAACGTACGCTTCGACCGCGTCCTGTACTACACAGACTCGTTGATAATATATCATTGGGTCACCGCCGCGCGCCCGGGGCAATGGAAAACGTTCGTCGGCAACCGGGTCGCCGAGATCCAGACAAACTCGCGCAAAGAGGACTGGTTCCATGTTCAAGGGACCGGCAACATCTCGGACCTTGCGACTCGGGGCATCTCCGCCGAGTCACTAGTCAACAGTTCTGGCTGGTGGTTCGGTCCGGACTGGCTCCGATCTCCGCAAGACGAGCGTCCAATCTCCCAGCCACTGACGAACAGTTCTTCGTTAGAGGTGGTACGGCAGGAGATCCGGAACGTCATGTCGCCTGTGGTCCTCACGCAACCGCTGATCGATCTCGAACGGTACGCTTCTTCTTCGCGCGCCGTGCGGATCATCGCCAATGTGATTCGATTCACCATTCTGGTACGTCGGCAGCCCCTGCCGCCGACGGTGGTGATACACCGGAAGGCTGAAATCGCGATCATAAAGGCATGTCAACAACAGCACTTCCAGGCGGAGATGGGTGCAACTCGAGCACAGGAGCGAGTCTCGCCTGCGTCCAAGCTGGCCGCCTTCAGTCTCTTCCTCGACGAGAATGGAGTCCTCCGGGCCAGAACCCGTTTGACGGAGGGTCCGTTTTTCACATTTGACGAGAAAAACCCGATCGTAATTCCGGGTGAGTCCCGACTTGCGAAGCTTCTCGTCGTGGACGCGCACCGAGTCAATGCGCATTTCGGCGTAAATGCGGTCCTCACTCAACTTCGCCGGCGTTATTGGATAACGCGCGGTCGGCAGATCATCAAGGCGATACTACGCCGATGCGTGACCTGCAGGCGGAAGCACGGCGTGCCCGCTCATCAGGTCGAGGCTCCCCTGCCGGAGTCAAGATCCGACTTCCGAGTCCCCTTCCAGATTACCGGTCTGGACCTTTGCGGACATTTCTATGTGAAACATCAACAGACTTCTATCAAGACTTACGTGGCACTGTTCACGTGCACAGCTACGCGTGCTATTCATCTCGAACTGGTGCCATCGCAAAGCACCCCGCAAACTCATCTGGCCATTAGACGCTTCCTCGCGACACATCCAGGCTGCGTACGCTTTATCTCCGATAACGGTCGGAGCTTTGTTAAGGCGGCGACGGACATCAAGCGCCTGTTCAACTCGATGAACTCGAGGAAGGTTGTCGACGTGCTCGAAGGCCGGTCCATCGACTGGAGCTTCAACTGTCCCCAGGCTCCTTGGAGAGGAGGGTTTTTCGAACGAATGGTTGGAGTAGTGAAGACCGCTCTCTTCAAAACGCTAAGCAGGAGTCTCATCGGCTACGAGGAATTCCGCACAATACTTTGTGAACTCGCTGCGATAATCAATGACCGACCGATTACTGTTCTCGACTTACTCTCAGATTCCCGACGAGAATTTTGTAATCGACCCCCGTCCCGGAATCCATTTGAACGGTCCAACCAATTGTGTGATAATCGGTGAAACGTCACCGTTTCCGTGGGGAGTGTTAAGTTAATCGAGTAAAATGATTGCGATCCACGTTTTAAAAGTTGGCGCGCGCTCTCTTCGTAGAGGCGCGCGCATCGTGAATAAAAAGAGTCGTCGACCCGCAGTTGAAGGAAGAAGTCATGTGTTTTCCGTTTCCATAAAAAACCTTAAAATCTCGCCCGAACCAGACGCCATACTCAACAGGGTGGCTTTGTTAGAAAACCGTTCTCCGAACGATCTGTTCGCTCAGGGGACTTTGTTCGAGTTTTATTAGTTGGACATGCGTTGTTTGGATTCATTCGGACATGGGTCAGTTTCATGGTTCGAAGGGGAGAGACCCGCACCGTGTTTCGTAGTTTTTCGATCGTTCATGCTTGGGTTTTTCACTTGATCTCGAGTGCTCTCCAGTCACCACTCTTTCCCTCGTTATTGTTTAGTATAAAAGACATGCTATTTTTGATCTCATTCACTCTACCCCTAGCCTCCGAGTTCTCCGTGCTCAAGATCACACAGTGACCCAACGCGTTCAGCTATCAATCCTCGATCTCACCCAGATTCCCCATCCCTTCAACATGTTCATCGGTACCGGACTTGACAAGAAAACTTCAGAGGCCCTTGCCCGTCGCAGGGAGCTTAATCGCGGTCTCCTGAAGCTCTTCTGTGAACACGAGCCCACCGATGGAGAAAGACAGCTCCTGGACATCCAAAGGCTCATTGACGAGCTAGAGTTCTCTGGTGGGAGAACCCACGAAGAAGCCTCCGCCGAAGCCATTGAGAAATGGCAGACTTTCAACGCAGAGATGAGAGATGTGTATCTCGAGGAGAATCTATACTACTGGCTTGATCTACCACTAGGAGATGAGGAGCGCGAGGAGGAGCGTAATGTGACGCGTCTCCTCATGCTCAAGCTCCTCAGAACTCGTAGGAACCACCGGATCGAGGTCGGTGTGCTAAAAGGACTTCTGCATGACGCGCAGAACTGACGTGGCTGAACTGGAGGAGGAGAAGAGAGGGTCTTCCTCGAAAGATTAAGTGGTGACCAGTTCACCAACAGGTTGCGGCTCCGCCGGTGAATCCACATCCTCCGTCGTTGGACGGTAGGGATTATCTTCGGTGGGCTCAGGTACTCTTTGATACCTAGCTCGCGATCTGTTATTTAGTTTCCTTATTAGGTATATACTTGTTAATAGTGTCGCAAATTAAATGTCTGCAGTAGTGATTACTTTCCAAACCACGCAGTCTTCTTTTACAATTGGTTTGGGAGGGATTGGTCTCTGTCTATACCAGATCCATAATTCTCTGCCTCCTAATGTGGCTTGATCTTCGGAGATGCAAGGTGTCTCATCGTCAGCATTGTTCTGACACACTGTAGTGCTCACGCACTGTACATGAAACATGTCTCCGATTGATTTCCTTATGAGACATGGTTGACCACGTGATTTGCATTCATCACCACAATCATTGTATGAAAAATATCCGTGAGTATAAGCCACGAAGGTTAATATGATGAGTGCTATTGTTAGCCTCATGCTTTCCAGACTGTTAGACCGGATAGCTCACGCTGTCTCAGGAATACCGATTTGTTGAGTGGCTTGGTCAGCCAGTCGGCTCGCTGGTACTCCGTTGGTATGTAGGCAATATCGATGTCTCCTTTGTCGTAGTGGTCTCTGATGAAGAAGTATTTTAGTTCGATGTGTTTTGTACGTCTATAGAACTGAGGATTTTTGATGAGCTTGATTGCTGCTTGATTATCCATTTGAATTGTAAGTTTTTCTTCTTTGCCTAATTCTCTTAACAGCTTGGTTAACCATTGAGCTGCTTTTACACTTTCTGCCGCTGCATAGAATTCAGACTCGCACGAACTGAGAGCGATGTTTGATTGCCTTGTCGTGTTCCACACGACCGGTCCTGACTGTCTCATGATCAGTGTTCCCGACGTCGACTTTCTGTCCTCAATGTTTGAGCCGTGGTCTGCGTCAGAGAATACCACTGTTCCTTCGTCAGAACTGCTTTTATATGTGATGCCGAGTGAAGGGCATGACTTCAGGTATCGGAGTATCCTTTTTCCTGCTTCCAGATGCTCAGGTGTACATTTATCTAGGAAACGACTGAGATATGAAGTGGCGAACGCCACGTCGATGCGGCAGCCACTGGTCATATAGAGAACTGATCCTATCAATTCTCGGAAGTTCTCGAGAGTGGTCGTTCCTGTATTTTTGATGTTATAAATGCCTGAGTCACAGGGAGTTGAAACAGGTTTGCAATCGAACATGTTGAATCGCTTGAGAGCCTCGTTCACATACTTGGTTTGATGTATGTGAATATCATGGTTCTCATTTGTTTCGATTTGCATTCCGAGGAAATACGAAAGAGGCTGTGATGTTATCTCAAGTTCTTGACCGAGAGAATCTATGAACTGAAGTACGATCTTCTTCGTTATTCCTGCGCACAGGCCATCGTCTACGTAGATGCAAACGATGATTCTCTCTGCCCCATTTCGATAGAAGATACAAGGGTCAGTCTTGCTTTGACTCAGACCCTTCTTCAGAAGAATGGACTTGAATTTCTGGCTGAACTCGAAAGGTGACTGACGGAGACCATAGATGGCACGTAGAAGTCTCCAGACTTTCTTTGATCCATCATCCTTTCCTTCCGGTTGTTTCATGTAAATTTCGTCATTAAGCTCAGCATTGAGGAAGGCCGTTTTGACGTCAAATTGGTGGAGATACAGCCTCTCTTCAGCTGCAATGCTTAAGACACAGCGGACGCCCTCAAGTCTTGCGACCGGAGAAAAGATCCGATCAGGGCTGAAGTCCACATTTTCTTGCTGCAAGAATCCGCGCGATACTAAACGCGCCTTATAGATT